ACTGCAGTTGCTGCCACTAGCCATAGAAGAATCTGAAGCTGCTTCGGCAGCAGCAGCAGCAGCAGCAGCAACAGCAGCAGGAGCAGCAGAAGCACCAGGAGCAGAAGCACGACCACGACGCAGCACCATGAGCTGAAGGAGAGGAGGAGAGATGCAGCAGAGCAAATAACAAGCAACATAATAGGAGAATAGTTGTTGCTGCTTTTGCTGAAAGAAAAACTAAGATACAACCAAGGGAGGGAGAATGAGTGAAGAATAGACGGAGAGAAGGACAGAGAAACAGAGACAAGGAAAGAATGGATACGACAACCACAACAGAAATAATAATGGCATATAAATGAAGTAACAAACATTGTTTTCCTTTGACATAACTCATTAACCAGCAGAGGCCACCAAGACGAATTGAAGCAAGTTGCAGTTGGAGTTGCAGTGGAGTTGGACCTATTGCTCGACTATGAAGGGGAAATAAGATGGGAAGGAGGCTGCACAAAGCTAGCTGACAGCATGTAAATTAATGTCTTGTAACTGGTCGCCAGCTGCAGCTCTAGCCTTAGCCTTATTCTCAGCCTTAGCTGCAGCTTTAACTGTGGAAGAGTTTAATAGACCCCAAGCTAAAATTTCTTAATTAAAACAATAAGCAGGCGTTGGGTCTGGCCACAAATGTCTGCAATTATATGCATGGCACACACACACACAAACACACACACTGAGACAGCAGCAACAGCAGCAGCAGCCGTTGGCATAAGGCAACATCAACAGCTGCCAGTTGGTTGGCAAATCTATCCGCAGAAACGCGACCGCAACCGCAACGCGGCGCTTTGCTGGGTGTCCTGTCAGCAGTGTCGGCCAGACACGACAGGAACGTCGAGGATGCTCCTGTAAATGAAGAAATTCCGCTGTCGTCTGTTGTCTTCGTGGCTGTCGCCCTTTGGCACGTCGCCTGCTGTGCCTTATGACTAATGATTGAAATTTCATGCTCCATATGGGTGCGAAGCTCGCCGTGTTGTCAGTTCATTTGGCTGCCATGATATGGCAAAAATATCGTGAAACGTTGCCACTGCTGCTGCTGCCACTGCCACTGCTGCTGCCTAATTAAGGAAGAGTCGGAACGAGTAGTGTCCCACGCTTAGCCGAAAAGTACGCAATTAAATGCTTGCTAGCACACTTTTAGGCGTGTAAACACGCGCACAAACGCCGAATTCTCAATTGGCAATCAGGAATTGGCAATTGGCTGTACGTGATTTAGCAAAAGTTGCACGCACACGCACACACTCACTCACACGCACATGGGCGACAGGGGCGTGGCCGCATAATCGATTTTGAAGTGTGAATACGTTGCCACGCCTGGCCTACTTTAGGGGCGCCTCCGCCGCCTGTCCGCCCGTCTCCGAGCGACGCCTAAAGTTATTTGCGGCCATTTTTTTAATCTACACTTGAACGCCGGCCTAGCACGCGGCAGTATTTGCGCAACGTGATGAGATTTTGCGGTTGCTAACCAATCGAGGGCCTTTATTTACATTTTTCTCAGCTTTTGCTTATCGATCTCTGGATTTTGCTTTGGCTACGGCCACAGCTTTGGCTTTTTGCCCTGTTTGTTGCCCGTCTCTTGCTGCGCATTCGATGCGGTTTAATTTTTTTTTTTTTTTTTTTTTTTTTTTTGCGCCCAAAAGCAGGGAACACGAAGCAGGCGACAACTGAAACTAGGTAGAGGGTCTTTTCGCAAGCAATAGCTTGCAGGTCCATAAGTTTCCTCGGCCGGCGACAGAGCAAAAAGCAAAAAAAAGAAAAAAAAAAACATGAGAAAGAGAAATGGTGTTATAAATAAGAAATGTTTGTCTGGCTCACAGAAACCGCTGGACTCTTACAACAATATGTCTTAAATTGCACCCTCAAAGCGACGATGGAGCATTTAAATCTGAAATCACATATCGATCAAATAAACTACTATTTATATTTAATAAATATTTTGTAAATGAAATGAAACGTATTCATGCATGCACAACTCTGTTACAGAGTCAATCAATAGCATATGTTGTTAGATAAAAGGGTCCTTGCATTATAAATAACCAACAAATACCTCTGGTCTTTTATTACAATGCATCATGGAAGTGGGTAATAGAATCATGTATGCATAAAATGAAATACAAGCACTTTATGAAATAAAGTAATTAAAGTGCAATTATCATTTCAATATATTTACGCATCTGCAACTGCAAATCGTTTGCACCACTGAACCGAGGAGAAATCCTTTGCATGTTGGGAATGCTGTCAGCTGCTTTACCTACACCACACAGTTGACCATTGGCTTGGTTAACACTGTGGCTTGATTTAGAAATTGTTGCTATCGCTGTTGTTGTTGTAGTAGTTGTTACTGTTGTTGTTGTGGTTGCTATTGCTGGCTAGACCGCGTTCTCAATTGGTTTTTGCGATTTCGCTTTTCCACTGAAATTTTGCCACTTAGCTGGTCGTAGGGCATTGCTAAGCAGCTGTTCAGACTCTATATATGCGGATGTGGATGTGGGTGCATTGAGCCTTAGCTCATAGTACGCTGATTCAAGTAAATGGCGCTAATGGCCGATCGAAGTGAGCCCGCAAAGCGACTCCGTCTCCACTTATCTGCAGTTCGAGTGCATTTCGCGCGGCAATTATTTTTGCTCAATACCCGCACTTGACTTTAAATTGTCGCCGACTGTGTCAGTCCCACCTGAACTCATCATCCCATCCGCCAGCCTCTTCCGTTTGCGAGGAAGGGCTTTTGCCCTGACGATTTTAATTTGTCGCTCTGTGCCAATTGTTAAGCAAAAGTGGCTAATTTGAAATTCTTTTGAGCGAAGTGCGCACATTTGTGAATGCCAAGTTGACGACGTCGTTAGCCCAGCTGTGCCCACCGCGAGGGGATTGGAATTAGTCACTGGGGCCAGAGAGGTAGGGCACAGAGAACTGGAAGCTGGGAGCTAGGGGCTGAGAGCAGGGAGCTGAGAGCCGAGAGCTGAGAGCTGAGAACTGGGAGCTGGAACCTGGGAACTGAGAGCTGCGAACTGTGAACTGTCTGTCTGTCTATCTGTCTGTTGTCGCCGCGGCTGTTGCTACTGCCTGCCTTTGTCTTTGTGTCACGCGGCATGAAATTGAATTTTGGTCTGCAGCAGTTGACTGGCGACGAAAGCCAATTGGCCCCTTCCCGTTCCCGCTGCCGAACCTCATTTACCCCTCGCCCGTCGCCTATCGTCCGTCGCCCGTCGCCCGTCGCCCGTCGTCCGTCGTCCGTCGTCCGTCTTCCGTCGCCCGTCGCCTCGTAAGCCTTGCCTTCAATTATGGCTTACGGCCAAACGCCGCCATTTTGACACTCATACAGCGTAATTCGAAATGAATGAAAATTCTTTATAACTACCGTCAGTTTTTCTGCTGTTTTCTCAGTTGTTTGTGCTGTTGTTTTGAGCGCTTGAATTTCAATTTACATAAGTCTCTGCATCTGCACCCAGCTTCAGACTCTCCCATTCTCATTCTTACACTCTGTTTCTACGTCTCTCTCCCTCTATTTATCTGTCTCTGTCCCATCTCCATTCTTTGTTCAACTTTTATCTTAGCTCTGTGCCTCGTTTTTCTCCTCTTTCTGCTGCCAGCCGGTAAAACTTGAGTTGTTTTTGTGGTTAAATGTAAATTTTATTGAATTTAACTCTTTTGTGTCTGTCTGGCTGAGCGTTAAAGAGGAAATTGCATAATTATGCCTAATCTTGAGACCTATTGCAGCGCCACTTTCCAAATTTATGCAATGCAAAACGAGAATCGACCCCCCAATCACTAAGGGAATTAATCCAACGCTGGGAGCTGCAGCTAAGTGGCTCCTTTCAGTTTGACAAAGTGTATTATTGGAATATGTAACGATTTCTCTGTCTGCTTCTATCTTCGAAATTATTTGCCTATGGCAAATTAAACATGAGAAGCGTGTGTATACGGGAGAAAAAGAGAGAGAGATGGAGGCAGAACAGATACAGAGATAGAGAGAAAATAAAATATTTATCGTTACATTTATGCAACATTTCAATCATTAATAAATCAATTAAAATAAATTGGAATTTTGTGCGCTGATGTTGAACGCGAAAAAGGTTTTTTTTTCTTTTTTGCAGGGCCCTTTCTTCGACTGTGGAACTGCTCTGTTCAGTCCGTGTAATGGGCTCGGTTCCATGCCATTTAATGCAATTAAGCAAAGCTCTCTTGATATTATTGTTTTTGTTGGCTTTTCGAATTGTTGCTGATATAAATCAAAAAATGAATCATTTGACGCGCTCGACAGATCGACGAGCCCGCCAACAACTTAAATTATTCATTTGATTTACGGTGACACAAATTTGCAGCCAAATGGAATATTAACTGTGCGACGTGGAGGACGCGGAGCATCGCGGCATCCGCTTAAAATGCACTTTTATAAACAGCACACAAAAAGAATTATGTTTCCCAGACAAACAGAAACTACAGAGAGCATAGAATGTTGGCACAAGACATCCTTTTCCAAATCTGGACATAAAACTACTTTCAGCGCATTACAAGGCAGACATGTCAAAAGTTGTACGGCGGCTGTCGATGTGCCTGCCAGTATACGGCTGAATAAGAGGCGCACTGGCAGTGGCGACGACCGACAGGAAGTAGCAGCAAATCCCAGCAACACCCACCAACACCCACACACCCACACACCCGTACACACACACTCACATTGATCCTTATCTATGTGTATATACACACACATTTTAGCACATCAATAAGCGGGTGGTTAGACATAAGCGTTAAGAGCATTAGAACTTTGCCTTCAACTATCCAGTCTTCCCCCTAATAGATGCCAAACGCAAACTGCTGACTCCGAATCATGATTTTGATTAAGGCGAAGTGCAAGCAGCCAACAGCCAACACACTGTCACATGGAGCACGTCGAGTTGCCAGCTTACCCTTAAGTAGACGATAGGCAAGACAGCAGCTGCCAAAATGCATCATTGGAAACAACCTTTTGTATTCGCCATATGGTTTAATAAAATGTGCAGGTATTAAGGGCTTAGCATAGAACGTTGACCAGCACCAGCTAATATATAAAGGTGTTAATAATTATGCATATCCACAATAAACTGGCTCAATTTATAGCATTAGTTTCCGTAACTGGGCTCGCAGTTGCCTCAGCCTTGCCGTTGTCCAGGTTGAATTTCTCAGTCTGGACCTGCTGAATGCATTGATGAATCTTGTGGGCAGTTTCGCACTTGTTGGCGCCGCGGAGTGAATGACAGGCGCGTTGTGGCCACCAGGTGGGATTGATTGCATCCGACAGATGGCCAACCAAGTCCTGCTCCACAAAGACACCGTCGTGCATCAGACCCATCTGCTCGTAGAGGCAATGCGTGAAGCATTGAGTGGCCTCAGTGACATTTGTGGCATCGTTGGTGTGAAACTGCAGCAGCTCCTTCAAGGACAGCTCCGTCTGCTGGGCGCAGAGGCGCACCTGATCCGCGCTAAACTGACGCGGAGTATCCTCGATCACAGTCACTGCAAGATTCGCCTCAACTTTGGCATATCGAGACTAGCAAAGAGTAGAACAGAAACATTTCAGCACAACTCTCAGCCGCCATTCAGTGTCCCACAAACCTCAGCGCCGACAAGGAAACAAAGTGCAACCAGCAGGTACGAAATACTCATAGTAAAGATTGAATCAGAACTGATGACTACAGAATCGCGTAACCTCGTTTATATAGTCGAGATTTAGCCATTTGTTTTATCATGTCATTAGATCTAGATCTAATTGCAAATATCAATTCAATGAGCCGCATAAACCGCTTAGCCGAACATTTGCTTTCATTGCCATTGCCAGAAATGTTCCAAGTTTGCTGCTCGAAAAGTTTAGCCCGCAGTTTTAATAATGCAAAGTAGTCGAAGGAACCCAAAATTAAATTGATGCCAATGTCGATACTTCGAGAGCGGCTTCACAAAGTTTCCCAAAAAAAGTTGCCAAAAAAATTAAAACAAAACGTGAGCTGCTGCGAGTGCAGTTGCTGTGCAACGCACCTGGAATACCCTTATTGCCTACTGCCAAGCAGATCGTGCCTGCACAGCATATATGTATATATATATATATATATATATATATTAGGTAAATTAAAGACTGCTATGTAAGAGAATAATAGGTATTTATATACATATCTGCGGATTATATGTGAATATGTATGTCTCTATATATGTATGTGTGTGCATTGCGGTGCTTCCGCTTAGTCTGACTGCTGCTGCTGCTGCTGTTATGGGCTACGACTATTTCCGCTGGTCGCATTAACTGCAGGCGCATAACTTTTCCAATTTGCTTTTGGCAATTATTGATATAAGCCGGCAGCAACAACACTTCAGCTCAGTTTTTCTCCGACTCTGTCTCTCTCTCCCCCTGCGCTGTGCACCTCCCAGTTGAATTTGTGTATGTGAGGCGGGGCCGTCCAAGCATATTTTCTTGCATTTTGCGCATATTTGTGCAACATTCTCAAAATTCTTCAACAAAGTTTTGTTATTATTGCCGTTTTGCTCGAGACTCGAGAGTTGAGAGTCGAGAGTCGAGACTTGGGTTTGGTACTGACTGCCACTTTGATTACTTTTGCAGTTGCCGTTGCAATTAGTTTGTTCATTAGACGAGGCAACAAACAGCCCATGACGAGAGAGAGATAGGCAGGACCGAGAGCACTCAGAGCTGCAAGAGCTGCCTCGAGTTGATTGGAATTCACACACTTAATTAGTTGCATGCCCAGTTAATTTCCTCTTTGTTCCTGCCACTGTAGTTGGTAATTGCGAGCAGTTTTTGCTAAAATATATCTTTAAGATGCACGTGCATGTGCCTTCCTTCCCACTGCCCCTCGGCGATGCAAATAAGTTAACAGGCCACCAGTGCATACGGTCCACACAGTCCACATTGAGTAAAGTGATTTTCCGACTGCCCGGCACTGCAACCGTTTTTGTAAGCTCTGAAATTCAATACAGTTTTGCACCGCTCAAAGTCATTCAAATGTGTTAGCCGCAACGATCTCCCCAGCTTGGCCGCAAGGCACGAGCCTTGGAACTGGACCTGGACCTGTACCAGGATTGCCCGCCATCCCGGTCTCTTGTTTTGTATCCATTACACTCTGCACATATTTGTTGCATAATGCCATCTTATGCTCGGGCACATTGTTGACCGGTTGTTGGGTATTCTGGGTAAAGTCTTCTCTGCCCGCCCTTTTGTATTTGCATTATCTCCTGATAGTTTAATGCCAAAGCATTTTGGTTGAAAAATCTACAATTCGCATGCCGCAAAACAAAAGCAAATGCCAGAGACAAACTCGTCAAGATGAATGACTGTGAGCAAATCCAGCGACTCAAGCTTGCATACCAGCATTACTCCATGTCAGTAGACCCCGAGAGCCCGGATAGCCTGCACAATTCAAATTGCACATGTCCAGCCCCCTCCACTCACCAGTCAAAAACAAAATAAATAAAAAATATATATATATATATGTATATATATAAAAAAAAAAAATGGAAAATAGCAAAAAAGGAAAAAAGTATGTGACTCGAGGCAGTTTCTTTCTGCTGCTGCTTGGAAAATTCTCAAGTAAATTTCATTGAATAAGAAATAAACAAGTAAATACTTCAAATAACTCTAAGATTCTCTCTCTTTCTCTGTACTGTGACAATTTTCTGCGGCGCTTTCAATTTAATTTACTTCTCCCCAACCATTTTTGACCATTGTTGGAACGTTGTGTGTAATTTAAAATCCCCTCAGCATGCAAAACACATCCTCAGCCGCATTTAGGCGCTTTCACTTGTCGGAGACTGAAATCAAGAACGAAGGAAACCAAAGCCAAATCCCACACAGCCATAGAATGTGTGGCCAAGCCAAATACGAGCAAGTATGACATGCTCCAGCACCAGGCATCGGGCATCAGGCATCAGGCATCAGACATCAACGGAACGTCGACGTGGCCTTGCAAGCCAAGCAAATAAATGTTGGAAGGCAAAAATGAAACGTGCCAAAGTCGGTTGACAAAGCATGAGGTAACCACATATATAAATACTTATTTAGTAGTAATGAAGGGGAGGGGGCGTAGAGTTACAGGCATGGCAATAAGTGTTAGACTGACTTTTGTCATTGTTCATTGAATTTTCCAACTTTTTTTCTCGTACTTTTCTCTTTGTTAAGTGGAAGTATTGGATTTAAAACAAATATCTGACTAAACGAGAGTCGTATCACAAATACCCTTCTACTCCGTAAATCATTACAAAGATGTAATTCAAACAAAAATATTTAATTTATTTTATATATATTTTATATATTTTATTTATATATTTTATTTGTATATTTTATTTATAGAAAAGCAAAATAAATATAGAACTGCAAGACGATGCTTACCAAATTATAAACAGTTTTATATTAGAGCACAAAAGAAATTAAATACTCTCCGCTTTACAGAATTTACTTTTTGGGAGAAAGCTTTCCGCGTAACACGCAGCGCAGCTAGAACATCGAACGTGACGTAGAGCCTTGTGGCAATTATAGCTATTATTAGCTATATTTATATTTTGTACACGGGCTGAAGAGTAGGCAACACTGCCTGCAGTGCCTGCAGCGCCTGTCTAACGGGATCAAAAGTACATTTATTCTCACATGTCTGCTTATGCTCTTTTCCTATTTATGTAGCTGACTGTGGGTTGCAGAAAACATACATACATACATATTTAAATTCTAAACATTTTAAAAGGCAATCAAGCCAATGAGAGCTTAGATATCTGCGAATGTCGCAATTTGTGTAAATATTTTCCTATTCTGTTGTCGAATAATTGCATTAAAATTGGAATTTTTCAATTTGCGAAACGAAAGGCTGTCACAAGTAGACGAGTATATGCTGGCGGGGTTCTGGCTTCTACAGTTCAACAGCTCCAAAACTCTCCACAAAATGAAGTTGCGGCACGCATTGTTTGCGGGCCGCCATGTGCGACAGCGCGACAACTTTCGGACGGCCATGTGAGAGATCCCAGTGACGTAAACGAAGCAAAAGACAGTGCAAGCTGTCTGTCTGACTGTCTGGCCGACTGGCTGGCTGGCTGCTTGGCTGACTGTGGCATTCTTTAGCTGACTTCGCAGCGCGCAATTGTTTGATAATGACACTAACATGATGCTGTACTGACAACCAGGCAAAAGCAACCTACTACTTGCCATTTCAGTTTTTTTTTTTTATTCTGTGGGCAAAGCTCCACGAAATTATATACGAAAATTATTTGTAACGGGCCGCCGCTAGCAAATTTTGGTATCCTGGTCGCAGCTGAGTCGTACAGTGTCAGCCTAGGCTGGATCCCATTTTGGTTGGCGCTTGTTTAGCTGATTTCCTCTGGCTGGCTGAGAAGGGCCACTGCGAAGCGATTGTAAATTAAGTTTTAAGCAACATGTCTGCAAAAATCATGCCCGAGGACAACAGCCTCGGCCTTTGTTGGGCTCCCTCTCCCTCTCTCACTCTCTTTTTTCCTCCTACCCCTACGCGAGCTCTGTCGCAGGCAGTTGCAAGATTTCTTCCTTCTTTTTATTCGTTCGTTTATTTTGTTGTTGTTTTGTATTCCTATTTGAAGAATGGAAATTGTGTTCTGTGTGTTTGCTGCAGTGGTCGCAATCGTCGTCGTGCAGTTCCTTGAGGAGCTGCTTTACTATTTTCGCATCATGCCTTTTCTACTTGCATTCTTTTTGTTTTATTATTTTTTTTTACTTTTATTTTTTTATTGTATTTTGCTATTTACACTGCCACAGTCAACAGTCGGCGTCGGCATCGCCATCAGCATCGGCATCGGCATCGGCGTCGGCGTCGGCGTCGGCGTCGACGTCAGCAGTTGCAGTTGCAGTTGCTGTATATATTTGCTGTAGCTGGGTAGCCGGCAATGGAACGGCAGGACGTCTCGGCGCATTTGTGTTTGTATTTGTATTTGTCTTTTAGTTTATTGTGCTGGGGCCACAACAGCTACCAACGAACTTTGGCAAGCAAGTTCTGTGTTTGGGCTCCACTGAGGCAAGGAATTCAATTTTAGAATCGCAAAGGACTCGGCGCAATTGTTGTGGCTGTCTTTCTGTCCGTCTGTCTGCCTGACTGACTGACTGACTGCATTTGATTACAGCTCGTTTCATTTAAAATGATTTGCGCAGTTGATCAGCTTACGTGCAGCCGGGGCAGCGCCTAATTAATGCCACCAGCAATCGATATCATATGTAAGGTGCGAATGCCCGACTCTGAAATACCCTACACTTAAGTTTAACTGCCTTACGACTCTAGTCCACTCACACAAGTATACCTACTAGACTATCGTCATCTATTATTGCTTTCATTTGAACTAGCCACTATTACAAACATACAGAAAGCAACTTACGGAAAACGTAGAGAATCTGAAGTGGCAGCAAATTGTAGTCTAATATACACAAATCCTGGTCGCTGGCTTAGCTGGGATGAAGAACAGCCGACAAAACACTTGCCCGGGCAATTAATTAAAACTCAACAAAGCTTAGCAGACAACTAACAGCAGCAGCAGCAGCAGTAGCAACAACAACAGCTGCAAATAATGTAAATGTAAAACCTGCTTAAATAGATAGCCAAGGGTTTAACTGTTAAATGCAGCGGCAGGGAGTTGGCGTCGTCAGCTTTTGCCATGCCCAGAAGGCTTCGCCGATAGATCAGCCACCAGCTGCTGTATGGCCACAGTGCAGCCCACAACGCCGAAGACAACGCCGATTATTATTAGGAGAATATCGCGTATGAGCTTCCAGCGTAGACGACCATAGCCCGTCTCATAGTTCACAAATATATCGATCAGCGCCGGGCAGAGCAGGTTTAAGTTGCAGAGGGAAAATGCGCCTTCCAACTCGGTCAAGGCTGCCAGATTGGGCACCACAGCAGCCACGATACCTGTAAGAGGGGAAAATATAGGAAGAAGAAAGTGTGAACAGAGAAGGTCCGACTGCTGCACCTACCTGTTAGGAGGAGGAACGAGAGGCGCACTAAGATCTCCGCCGTAGTGCGGCACTTGTGCTCGACTGCATTATCGCCGTAATCGCTGAAGACGATCGTTATGAACACGAACCCGTTCAATGGGTAACTCAAGAAAATGCCACAGGCGATGGCCACCTTGATGAACTGTGAGAGACTTGCAAGAGAAGAGGAGGAGTTAAACACGAAAGTAGATATTATAGCTATGGACTGGGACAGCCACTTACACTTCGCTCTGTGGAATATTGAGCGTAATGCTGGCCTCCACTTGCTCGCCATAGCGCCAATAGCCCATGATTCCAAAAAATAGATTCGAGCAAAGTATGAAGAACACGGCTAGATTGAGGACACCAAAGAAACCCAAGTAACTCTCTGGATGCGCCATGTTAGCCTCCACGACCAGCATCTAGACGTACATGTTATTTAGGGTAAATTCGGAAAGAGTCTCTGTTGTACGCACTGAGCCGACGGCTGTGAGGGAGAAGGCTGCGATGCCGAAGAACATCATATAGTCCTGGGGTGGCTTGAACATTTCGCGATCCTGTAAGCTGGGCAGGCCCTGAAACAAGTAATACATGATGCACAAGAATCCGGCATAGAGCAGAATATTCGAGACGAGGTTCAGTGGAACCAAAAACTTCAGTTTACGTATCATAAAGAATGGCAGCTGCAGCACACAGACACCGAGAACGTAGTAGCGCTCGTGGTAGTCCTTGAAGTAGAAGTCGCCGATTTCCTTAAAGTTCTTTGAGACAAACACAATGTAAACGCAGCAGAGGCCAAACTGGCCAAAAACCAAAACACAGGTGGTCGAAATGCCGGCCGCACGGGCAAAGCAATGCACACAGGCCGGCCCCAGCTCGTAAGCAATCTGCACGGCCTGCGGCATGGACACTTGCGGCACGTGGATGCGTCGACAGCACTCGGTCATGCCAGTGATCTGTGTGGGAAGACTAAATGCAAATAATTGCGATTTGGACCGCGCACGGGCAGCAGGGCAGGCAACTGCGGAGACTCACCAGCAAGTGAATGCAGTAGGTAAGCAGGACCATTAGCAGCACGGAGAGCAGCACGCCGGACACGATGCCAGCGTAGCGCATGGCCAGCGGCATGGCCAGAATGCCTGTGCCAATCACGCACTTCAGCAGCGAGACGAATGCATCGAAGTTGCTGTGGGGACAGGAGTTGAATCACCACCATTGCTAGCTGCTAAATGCTCGATTCATAACGGGCAACGCCGCGCGACAAGTCACTTACGTTAGCGGTACCTCAACAGTGCGTTTCTCGTAGGGATTGTAGATGTAAATCGATGATCTGGACGGGCTGTTGGGTAATCCGCTGCAGGCACGTTTCAAAATTTAATTATGGCCGAGCTCTTCGCGAAATCCAACAACTACTCACAGAATGGACGGGGCCGGCGGCTGGGGTACCTCGGAGTCCTGCTGCGCTGGTTTGGCCATTGGAGCCAATTGTCTGAGCCGTACGAAACCCGTTAAACTAAACCAATGGTGAATAACAAATTTTGATAACAAATTCAAATGAGTGTAGTCTGTAGTCGAAAGTGTCGTCTCTATTCAGAACCCAACCCCAGCCCCACCGCCCCGCACACATTCAATTCACTTCAAGCTAATCAGTGAGCTTAGCTCCACAATCAAAAACCCAACTGCTGCACATGCGCGACGGCCATTACCATAATATGCGCAAATTATTGTATACTCTGCAGCGTAGCCAGAGCCAGAGGCAGAGCCAGAGGCAGGGGCAGAGGCAGAGGCAGAGGCAAAGGCAGAATTTAAAGCAGAAGCGAAGGCAGCGGCAGTAACATAGCCGAAGCCAGAGCCAGAGCCAGAGCACACAACTTACAATAGTTTGCAAAGCAACAGTACAGTACGTACCGGCTAGAGCAGAACTTTTTCAAATTATAGAAAGACAGACATAGGGAGAGAGAGAGAGAGAGAGAGCGGAAGAGGGAAAATGAGAGCGGGAGAGCGAGAATGAGTGCGGCAGACAATCTAACTGAGCATATTCAAACGATTTGCTTTCACATAAGACATATAAGGGAAGAGAAGAAGAAGCTAAGATATATAGAGAAACTAAGAGGAAGAGATTGAGACCACATCTAAGTCTATCATACAATGCGTTCACCTGTCATTAAGAGAAAGTTCAAGAGATTAGTCGAAGTGGTGGATCAATCCAACTTAAGGACAGCTTAACTATAAATCACATGGGTCAGTCAGTGTCAATAGTTGAGTTAACGCCTTCAGATGCATTAGTATTGCTGTTCTTTTCTAGCAATACAGTACAGTGCTTACTTGGGAGAAGAACTGATGGAGCACACAGAAGAGCAAATCAGAAAGTTTATTCAAGCAGCGATTGACTTTCGTCTAGCTCAATTGTAGTTGATGGCTGAGCGACAAGCTAAAGGGTTTCACAATGGCAGCTTGCACTGTATCTTGTATCTAGATAACCAGCTCTGCAGCTACCAAATTTCAATTCCAGCTGCAGGATGCAGGATGTCGAGAGTTGGCGTTGCCGAGAGGAGGACGATTGTCATGCCAGAATGTGCACTTCCGCGTCCGCTTTTAGTTGTGTGAACTTAACAGTAAATTGAATTAAAATTTATTGTGAAAATTGCAAAATTCCAAAACGCCGCAGCAGCAGCAACAGCAGTTCGCAGAAGTGGGCTTCAAGGAGACATCAGCGCAAATCCAATACAAATAAAATTAAGTAAAAATGCACACAGGGAGGCGCACATGAAGTGGGCGGACCATGGCGTAGGGGCCAGGGCTGCTGCTGGGTATGTGAGGGGGACAGGGGTCGCCGTGTGTTTGCACAAAAATATGCAAATGTGATATTGTCGCTGGCGACATTTACAACAATTACAATAACAACGAACGGAACGGAACGTACGGACGGCGGACGGCGGACAGGCGGCAACTACTAACTGCGTGCGACATGTGACACGATATTCAAATAAAGGCGGCCCAGGCGGCAGATAGGGCGAGACGTAGGTGGGTGGGCGTGGCATTTATAGCATATATTTTGCATAAAAAGGGAAATATGCAGCAGCAGCAGCAGCCGAGCAAGAAAACGAGCGAAGCAGCAGCAGCAGCACAGAAATCAAATAAAACAAATTTGGAATTTTACAGCAGACGGAACAGGAGAACATCTTCAACACACACTCGCGCACACTCACCCGCCCACACACATATGTGTGCTCGAAGGAGTCTCGCAGATGACTTCGACTTCGACTCTCCTCGCTCGAGTCTCGCTCTGCCAATGTGCTGGGTGTCTGTCTGTCTGTCGTTGCTGTTTTTTTACAGAGACAAACAGACTGACATTCAATTTAAATTCCTATACAAATAATTGCGTGCCAGTTCCGAGGCCAAACAGATGGATGGATGCGGAGCGGGCTGGAGCACTGCAGCGCTTAGATTATGTTTGTTTTCTTCTCTCTTTTTCCTTCAACGGATCCGCTGCGACAGTTGCCATAATTTGCCTAGCTCAATGTCAATGGACACAGACGCTAATAATTATGCATTCCTCGCCACGTTCAATCCTATGAAATTATTCTGTCCTCATCACCTAGTGTCGCTGAAACAAAACCAAAAAGCGTACGAGCAAATGGATCCGACTCGAAGATACCCTCTGCATCAAATATTGAATTACACAGCTTGTGGCCGTGATGATTTTTCAATGAACTTAATTCCTAATTAATTCACATCAATATTGGTATTGATTGTTAATAAAATATTCTGAATAGTAAATTTAGTCAACTTGCAGTGGATCCATTGTACAGGACATAAAAATAAATCTTACCTCAAAGCAAAATTTCTTAATGCAGCGCACGCACCTCAACTGCTCTCTTTCTCCCTCTCTCTCTCTCTCTCTAGCCCCTTCGTTGGCTACGATTTACCTGACTGTGGCTTCACCTATTATCGCTGCGGTTATCTTTCTCCTTTTTCACAGTACTCCCGCACTCCTCCCGCTATTATCATCAATGTTATCAACAGCTTAGCTGAAACTTTCCGCGACTGAAGGATGCACCACGTTCGACGTTCGCGCTCCACGCACCTAGCTCCACGTTTCGCTGCAGCTACTTCCTCATGCTTTGCGCATCAATGATTTTGATCAGATTTACTGAAGCTGTCCAGCGCTGATGCTGATAAAGAAGATGACGATGATGACGTTGATGATGACGAGGTGGCCACAGGGCGCGCTTAGCAGCCCTTTTATCTCGTTGCCCACAATAATTTTTGCATTTATAATGAAATTCATCGTCATTTTTCATACTTTCACAAAGTGGATTTTTATTAGATTTGCATTTCTTGAAAACCTTTATACTATATATATGTACGTATATATAGAAAAGCTTATTGTTTTCTGTGCGTTGGCAACCATATGGTCAAAGTGGCTTAAATGCATTAGAACTTCGTTGCCTTCGTTATTTTATTGTTGCTTTTAGAGGCAGTGTTGCCATTTTAGCCAAATTCAGGCTAGTCTAGCCTATTTGAAATTCATTATAAATCCTTTGAAAATGAGTATGAAATAGCCAAACATTCCGGCAGACTATGCAGAAGTCGTCGTCCTTAAAAAACTATAGAACAAAAGAAACAGCTGTTTATGCCATCTATAATTAGCAATATTATCATTTCAACATTTAGCCCTATTAAGTATATACATATACATCGTAAAGAGGTAATCTGATTTAACTATACGCGATTGTTATATATAGGTCTCTCTGTCTGTCTCTGCGTCTGTTTCTCTGACGAAGAAGAACTACAGAAGTTCATTTAAGTTGTGTATATGTATACAGCAGTATTCATTTGGTATTAATATTTGATTTAAACGAAGCTAGAATGCTTGCAGGAGCAGAGCGTGTTCCCATTGGTATTTTTAAGCACGACTGAAACGATCTCTACCTGGAGTCGGGCTCAACGTTTGAACACAGCCTGAGAAAACTTGAGTAAAGTGAAGTGAAGAGTGTGATCGTGGAGATAATAAGAATACTCGGATAAAATACTTGGAGGAAATTCTTATGGAACTACTTACAGGAATTACTTGAAAGAAAAACTCAGAGGAAATTGCTGGAAGAAATACTTAGAGGAAATAAATCCATAAATTTTGCACTTTCACTGTGTGTACTAATACAATTTTCTTTACTTTTCGTAGGTTTGTCCATTTTTGACTATTTTTGCCGTATTTTAACCATAATACTTATTTCGGAGCTCAACAGCTGGCAACACTGGTTAGATGCAATATCATATGCACTGCTATCAAAAATGCAAAATTCATGAATATTCATTCATTCATTTTCACATTTTCCGCACAATTTGTCAATGGGGGGAAACTATGTATGTCTTAAAAACACAACTGGCAGAAAATTTTCTATTAGATAAACTGTCAGTCATTTTCGTTGACATAGGACGTGAGCTCAGGAAACCCCAAAGCGAAAGTCATACGATGATATTTCAAATTATTTTAAGCCCCTCATCAATTCTGCTTCTTTGGAGCTTCCATAAAATACCCTGTACATAATTGAAATGTTACTCTCTTGAAATGCTGGGTATCACGCTGAGCTCAAGTCTTCTGTGTGTGCTTAATCAAAAACATTGGTGACATTTCCTGATAGTAGTGTAAGGACATGACACAAAACAGCTGCATGCACAGCCATTGTAATGTGTCTGCTTGATAATTAAAATGTGCACGTAAAATATTAAAAGAAACACAGCCTGTACATTATGCGGTGACAACACGTCAGCATAGTCGATAATGACAGACAATACGCGACTTGATAACTAACTAAGCTCATCCTGTCTATTTGAAATTTTGCTTGAGCGCGCGCAACGCTGCCCTGAAGCTTAAAGTGTTGGTGAAGCGCGGCCTTTAAACGTTCACCAACACTTATTTATCACGCAATATATCGAGTGCGGTCACTATTTAATCGGCAAAACTTCACGCTAGAGCGGCGTGTTTCGCATATTTACGAAAAACAATAGAAATTACCTGAATAATGGATGATGAGGCGGAAACTTACAAGCTCTGGCGTATACGCAAGACGATCATGCAACTGAGCCACGACCGTGGTTACCTTGTGACCCAGGATGAATTGGACCAGACTTTGGAACAGTTTAAAGAAATGTTTGGCGACAAGCCAAGTGACAAACGTCCGTCGCGGTCCGACCTAATCGTGTTGGTGGCCCACAATGACGATCCCACTGACCAGATGTTTGTCTTCTTCCCCGAGGAACCCAAGATTGGTATCAAGACTATCAAAACATACTGCACCCGCATGCAAGAGGAGAACATCCACAGGGCCATCGTCGTCGTGCAGGGCGGCATGACGCCCTCTGCTAAGCAATCGCTAGTGGATATGGCCCCTAAGTATATTCTAGAACAGTTTCTGGAGTCTGAGCTGCTGATCAATATAACGGAGCATGAGCTGGTGCCGGAGCATGTGGTAATGACAGCGGAGGACAAACAAGAACTTCTCAGCAGATATAAACTAAAGGAGAACATGTTGATGCGCATACAGGCGGGTGACCCCGTGGCCCGCTACTTCGGCCTGAAGCGCGGCCAAGTTGTGAAAATTATACGTTCGTCTGAGACAGCGGGCAGATATATATCGTATAGATTAGTATGCTGAGTGACTTTCGGTAATAAATGTCATAAAAATACATTTTTCATCCAATTATAATTAATAAATAAATACAAATAATATATAAATATATAAAAATATAACGATTCAATGACAGTAAATATATTAAGAGCTAAGCTATCGATAGTTGATATCGATAAGTGTCAAGGTACAACTGCGTGCGAAAAGAAAGAAAAAATAAATACAGAAAATACAATTATACAATCCGAGTTCTATTGTGAGTGCCTGGTCTCCCATTGAGAGCCAGTGGCGTCTAATGCGAGATGGCCATGCTAACGCGCCTGACCAGCAGCGGCACAACAACAGTAGCACCTGGTTCACCAAAAGGTCTGCAACGCTTTCAGAACTACCTCAGCGCTTTTCTCTGGCCGGGAGCATCACAACGACAGCAGCGCAAGTCGTCCACGCAACTGGATGCCATCGATTGCTTCACCAATGAGCTGGTTAACCGTAAGACACAGAAATGGGGTGAGCTGCGCGAGAGTCTGATGAAACCTGCTGTCGAGGAAGCCAATTATGGAGGAAGCACCTTTGGCCAGAACGTGGGTCTCATGTCAAAGGGCATGATGAGCGACCTGAAAGCCCTGCGCTCCCCACAGCTAGGCCTCGATATACGATCTCTTTCACAACCACAGCTGGACAACTTGTTGTTGGCGACCCTGGAGATTAAGAACAAACTGGACTTCCTCTATCTAATTCGGCAATGCGTGCGCTGGCAGCAGTTGCCCTGCAACGAGGTTTTTATCTCCTGTCTAAAGTACTTGAGCTCCTTGGGCCGTATGCAGCAGCTGGAATCGCTGGCAGAAACCTGTCGGCAGTTAAATCATCCCTTTGCAACCATATACTCAGACTTGGCACCGTTCAAGGCGATTGCCCTGTGGCACAATGGCAACTCGGATGTGGCATTGATGACCTTGCATCGTGGCTATGGCGGAAGCCTCAACACAGAAGAAGGCAGGCGCATGATTCGTGTCGCCTTTCGCACCATAGTGGAGGAGACGCTGGCACAGAAAAGCGAAGCCGTTCTCGTCTCCCTAATGGAGGTCGCTCGGGCAATACACCGCGAGCACAAGGACATCTTCGTTGTGGCCTGTGTGTGGAAACAGTGTTTCGCCAGTGATTGGTTTAGCGATCAGAAATCAGCGGGCGAGTTGTTCGAACACTACAAGGAGCTGCAGCAACTGGTGGATCGCAGGTGCGCACCCGGTTACAAATGATAATGCAGCTTCCTCATTTAACAAATTTTTCACTTTCAGAGCCAGTCCGCTATGCTCCTCATTCCTGAGCCGACACAACGTGGACGCTGTGCACCGTCTAATTGAGGTATTCTTGCAACACAATCAGCGTAGTGCGTGCGCCAATTGTCTCAGCCTGCTCTTTAACTACCAATGTATGCGCCGATGCTCTGATTTACTTAATGGTAATAATACAAATTCAACCTGCTTTCACTTTGCAGACTTGCGCAAGGATCTTCGTGCCTGCGCCGAAATCGTGAAATCCTGCAGCGAACTGGAGATGCCATTGACCGAGCTACAAAACGAGCAGTTCCTCAGCCTGTTTCTTGATCAGAGCGAACCGTTCGACACAGCCGCAGGCAGTCGTACGATGGGCAGCAAGTACAAGACGAAATCGTTCCAGTACAAATTTTAGAGGCAATCGTATTTCCCACTTTGTTGCATCCGTGGTTTGTAATTGTAGAGCACAAAATGAAGCAACAGCCGAGGTCAGGTTGTTGCACACATTATATAGCAATATGCACTTGAATAAATGTTATTTATCTCGTCAATCAAAATATCAAAATATGTAGATTCTTGCTGTTATTATTATTATATAGTGCAGCTTTTAGCTGTTTGTCCTATGCTTCTGTGATCTAATTTTGATTTTTAAGAGTCTCGCAGGTTGCCCTCGGGCAGTTGAGATGTGTTCAAGCCCATACACTCGTAGCACCGTGAGATTAGATGATTTCCACAGCGATGAGCCTGGCACTGTTGGCAACGTGATCTCGCTTTGATTTCACGCTTGTTGCGAGCGCAAGGCTTACAGCGTCGATGCTTGTCTCCATAGCGACTGACCAGTGCTACTCCCTCCGGTAGCGTGGAGCGCGACAAGCTAATGACCCCCACTCCATTCGATTGCTTGGCTTCATTGGCGGCTTCGCTTAGCAGCCGCTGGCTGGATTGGCCCAAAATTTCACAGATTTGCAAGCGCATAGCAAGACTTGTGGCCGCCGATCGCCGATGCAGGCGCCGCTGTAAACGCTGCTGGGTTAAAAAGAGTCCGAGCTGGCGTTGAAAGTCGCGTTGATCTATGCTAGCATCGCCGGTTGGCGCCAGCCGCAGCAGTATCCACGCATTAACAGCCGACACATTGAACATCAAGTGCAGCAGCTGCAGGAACACATCTGGCTTAGTTCGAGCCGGCAGCGAAAATGAGGTACTGTATCTATTAGAGAGCTCATGGTAATTAATACAGCTGTTGGAAGTGTGCAGCTGTGCTTGCATGGCATTCACTTGACTATTCAAGCCACAGGCGAGAAGCGCGACGCCCGCTCTGTGAGTGAGTTTCATAGCGCCATTTGACAGCGATCCACCCGACCAGGCTTTGGGATAGTCCAATGAGCAGGACGGCAGGGTACAAAGGCTGCTCAAATTAAACTCCAGCAATTGCTCGCATTGGCTGACACTGGCATAGCGCGTGCCCAGAGTAATATTACGACCTGTGGTCTTGTAGTCACAGATCAGCTGCATCAGCTCCTTGCTGGGCTTCGTTTCCCTTTTATTAACTATTGCATTGGTCATGAAGAGCGTCTTAGCATCGCAGCATACGCTCAGAAATAAATTCTCCGATTGAGCCTGTTCATCCACACAAAGCCAGCCGCTGGGTCCGTAATAGGAGCGACAGTTAATGAGCAGCTTTTGCCATAGTCGCAATGCATCATTCCAGCTGCTTTCGCCCTGGAAGTTGAGGCAGTTCGCAATGAACTCAAAACGCGTCAGTGACATTGTGGCGCGAAAAATTGCATTTCCCAACTCCAACGTCCACAGCTCCTCTATTGGAAGAATTGTTATATAGAAAGAAGGTAAGCATATATTATATATGTGCTAATTGCTAACCCAGTGGTCCATTATATTGTGCATTTCGAAAGACGCCACACAAATAACTCAAGCCTAGCCAAGAACGGAGCTCTGTGAGATCTGCAAAGCGCTCCGCAGGATTTCGCGAGCGCTGCTGGCGTATCTGTTCGTTGAGTAAGCGTAGGAGCATGTGCAGCATCTCATCGTCGAACAACAGCATCCAGGACTCTACAGCATTGGTAACTAGCCTTGCAGGGCCTTTACCACACGCCAGCTGCTTGGGCACCATCAATTCTTCTTGAAGAGGAGCCTGCATATCCAAATGCCAAACATGACCATTACTCGAATAAAAGATGTTGTTAGTGTTTGGGGGCCGGCCACGCTTGGCACGGCATTTCCCTGGATTCATCAGAACCACATCGGGCAATTCTTCATCATCATTAAGCAGAATTTCTTCATCATTAAAGAGCCAAGCAAAATTGGATGTCAAAGAAGTGGTTTCCTGAAGCGGATCGGCATGACTATCCGCGTGATTCTCGACTGGAGTCTTTAGCTCTATTTCCAGATTCTCCACATCCATTTGCTGGCCATTATTATCGGTCTTGTCTGTATTATTTTTTATGTTTGACAAAAGCTGTTCATCTAAAACAGAAACTTTGTCGCCGCTGTCTTCCATTGTTTACCATTCTTTATTTACGTTTTGACTCCCGTGAAGTTAGCTGCGCGCACATTTTAGTCTCACATGAAGTTGGCTGCGTGTGTAAATTGATGCTACTGACAGTGTGTACATATCGAGTCGCAAAAAATACATAATTAAAACAGCAGCAAAACAAAACATTGCTATTTTAATATACTATAACCTGTAGTGACTAAGTTCGTGTAGATATAAAGATAATGCAGAGGCGTCGTTACTCGCAACGGCGACAAGTGAACAAAAGTTTAGCTCAACAACAGCAAATACTAACGAATACAGCTAATTTTACCCTGCAGGCAACTCAAGCGTAGCTGGCCCAGGGAGGTTAGAAGCTATCCAAATAAAGCATTTAAACTTCAACATAAAATAATAAATCAAGTGGCGGTTATAGTGTTTACGCTATGTGAATTATGCGCGCGTATTAAGCGATTTGTCAAAAATCCTGCTTCGCAATGTCAATTTGACATGTTATACTGTCACGTCTTCGAAGAAGTCTTATACGAGGTGCTGTCGATAGGTGAACGATACGTTTCGATAACAAAAAATGTTGAAGGCGAGAAATTTCAAAATGAATAAATATGCAGTAGGCCATGATAAATTTGTGGCAGCTAGAAAATGTCGTCTAGTCAAAGTTAGTCTAATTTCAAAGCTGGTGCTGTGAACACAAAAATACGGAAACTGAAAATATATATAGTGGATATATTTATTACCCATAATTTTTTTTTTTTTTGTGTAAAAAAAAAAAAAACTTTTTTAAAGGAGCTGCAAGTCATTCTCCCTTTACTCCCTTTTTATTGTTGCTTGTTGGTTGGTGTTTTCTTGCTATATGTATATATCATGATGATCTCCCCGGAGCAACATGAAGTTGATTTGGTTTTGGATAGGCAAGTGCGCCGGAATATACAGGACATGATGCACGAAGCGGATGTACAGGCCAACCTATTGGAAAGCGAAGGTCAGTCTTAACATATGCCTCACACTCTATGTGAATCAGCATTAACGCAATTTAATTAAGGCGTTTCGGCACGTGAACGATACAACTCTGAATCCAGCATCGATCAGGACCATCTGCATGCGGACGCCATGGGCGGACTAGGCAATCTTTCGGCCGATGAGATTGTTGAAGAGGATCAGGATTCTGAGCAGGCCGTGCAGGAAATACAAAACTTTCACGACATGCTCGTGGAAACGCACATCGATGTCAACGGCTCGCTGCGCAAGCGTCGTGGCAATCTGCCAAAGCACTCCGTC